TCTGAAAGGATGAGGCAAGGCTCCGTTTTTCCACGCAGGAGTTCTCAGATATTTTGATGATCAAATATCTTACAGTGTTGCAATAAGTGAAAGCTGAGGTATTATCGCTAAGCTGTTCAGAAAGTTTGGAATGAACCAATGAGTGGGTGAAAAAAAAACTTCAGAGGCAGAGGTTATAAACATGCTGTTTTGAACCTGGTGTCAATCTGTCATTTACTTCACATCGATGTATATTGTACATAGAAAAAGGGAGGTTTGCCTCCCGTGATTCCATTTATGCCTTGACGACGCTTCTGTGCGCTTGGCGAAGCGCCTTGGCCATGAAGTTCTAACATTTGTTAGGTGCCCTCAACCATGAATCGACAGGGCATCGCCAGTCTCAGCAACAAGTCAAAAATATCGTCATATTTATTTCCTAATTCGCAGTCGGTTTCTCCCTTAAAATGGGGAAGGTGAAGTAGGGTAACTAAATTCTTACTACCAATACTTTGTTTGAGGCAGCGATCTGTTCGAAATCTTCATTAAATCACTGGATTGCCTCCATTCTCTCCAGGCAGTTCTGAAACAGCTCCTCACATATTCCAACTTGCCTTTACTGAACCGAAGCCAGTTTGCCTCATAGGCTGCTCTACATGTCTCGGTTTTCGCTTCTCCTACTTCTCGGCTGTCACTCCTCAGCGCTGCATTATTTGCATGGAGGTTGAAACGCAGGTGTCTTCCTGCAGACGTCTGATTAGCCCTTTCATCGCAGTCGAAAACGAAAATGGACTCAACGTTTACCCTCGATGGATGCGTGCCGACAGAAAATTCTTCTGTTTCACCGCATGCGTGTCAACTGTCGATTTTTTCGCGCATGTTTCGGTAAGCTGAAATATTTTTTCTGAAACCAGCTTTTTTCCCATGCTCTGTTGCGTTGTCTGCACTGGTATATAACCAAAAGCTGGCTTATGGCCTAGTGATGTCTTATTATATGCTCTGTATATTTTTAGGGCTGGTTATAGAGTAATGTAATAACGGATTATGCGAGAGACCGGCTAGGAACGAAGACAATCCTTGTGAAATCTTGGCTTCTATCTTTTTCTTCATCTTTAAGTTTCTTGTTCAGCATCCTTTTACACAGTGAAGCTTAATATCCCAACAGTTTTCGCAACCTCCATGTTTCATCTCATTTTGAACCTTGTCATCGAGGCACTCTTTGTCCCTGATTCCTGCATTTGTTAAAATAAAATGATTTTATTAAACAGTGCTCAGAATGAATCCACGATTTGTTTGTTTCCATGAAAATTCCGTCTGTGAAAAGGGTATTTTCATGTTTAACCTTACCGAAGCTTCCTACACCTTATTGGTAGAGATCATTTCGATTAATTCATGGTTTCATGATATCTCCTCTCATACCTCCCTCTTGGACATTCCTCTTCTCACAACATTTAAAAATATACTTGCCATTTATTGTGATTGATTTTCTCGTCTGTTAAACAATGTAAACACCTTTCCATTTTGGCTTATGCCAAAATATGAAGCACTTCACCTTAAAAATTACGATGTCCCTTTTCTCGGACTTCACTATGCGACTGATGACTCTTATTCTCTGACTTAGTCACAAGACGGCAAAAGTTTATATGGAAAGAAAGTGTATTCGATTCCTGCTTGAATATCGATACTTGCTCTTCTTTTCTTGATTTGTAGTTAAATTCAATGAATTGCTATAATGCTGCCAAATTATTGTATGATTAACTCCAAATGATTGCCAATGCTCTTCGATATTACACATTGACATCACCATCAAGGAAAAATATAAAAGTTTTGAACAACGAATCAAGGAAAGAAGAGGAACGCTCGTTAATCAACAAGTTACTGATATATCGTGATGGATTTGCGACTGTTCAATTTAGAAAAAAATTTCACTTTCCAGCAGTCCGGTTTAGAAACGTAATTGAATGTTCAGAGAGAATTATGATCGCATATAATGGCTTTGCTTTCGCGACGATTTACACGGTAGACTTGATTTATTACTTGTTATTATTTGTCATTCGATTACGCTAATAAAATAGCGTATAACTCCTCCAAAACCAGATTTTATGACTCATTGTACCGCCCTCTTGCTCGTGGCTACCGAAGAGCTATTTGAAAAGACCACGGTTCCCCGTATTTAAGCATCTAGAGTGCCAGATATATCGACCATCTTTGCTCCCTTGAGCCGCCTTGCACTTGTTTAGCACTGTTTCAAGAGCTGCTGCTCCTTGTGTGCTATGGTATAAACTTCAAAAGTTCCTTGCAACGTTGAAGTGTGTCAAAATGCATGCCTTCCATGACCAGATTTAAATGTTCATGAATTAGTAATGAGGAGCACTAACTCCTGAAACATCGCTACCGATTTGCGTGAGGTAGATCTTGCGAAAACAAGTGATGCGAGATGCACCTGGCACTG